ATTTGCAGCTGAGCTGAGAGGTGCCTGGCCTGTCTTTAAGGGGGTGGTGAGGGCAGGTGCCAGGTCTCCTGCAGCCAGGCCGGGAGGATGCTCAGGGCTAGCCGCAGAAGGAGGGGCTCTGTCCTGTCTGTATTCTTTCTTTCGTTGATAACAAGTATATACATAAGGGTGGATTTGGGTTGTTAATAATTAAATTTTTTTTCCTTTTGTTGGGGGGGGGGCACTTAGGATGTATATAGGATCTTAGTTCCCCAACCAGGGATTGAACCGGTGTCCCCTGCAGTGGAAGTGCAGATTCTTAACCACCAGACCGCCTCTGAAGTCCTTTCCTTCTAATTGTTTGTGGATTCCAGGTTGCAAATGCCACAGCCAGCATAAAGGTAAAAACCATTAAGAGAACTGTGCTAGTGTTTGTGGCACATTTGCTGATCACTGGGTACTTTCCAGTCTCTTTACTTTATAAAGCACAGATGGTAACCTATGAACGGTATTATTGTCACTTCATAGGTAAGTAGAGTGAGGCGCAAACAGCCTAAATAACTTGTCTAAATTCATATGGTTAGTCTGTAGTGCAACTTGACTTTGAACCCAAGTCTTCCTCTCCTTTATCCCCCTATTTCATTTTCCCTCTCCTAAATACCTACCCTGTGCAGATGCTGTGGTCAGAGTCTCTGGATCCGGCAAGCACTAACTGAACATCATTATGTCCCAGGGCTTTCCCAGAGAGTCTCACATTTTTCTCCTGAGTTCACCGGTAGCCATTGGCTACTGATCTTGATGGAGAATATCTTGGCGATAAACTGAATGTACAAATAGAAGGTGTGACTGTGACCAAGGAAAATCAGGATGCTCTGAAAGAGGGGAAACTGGGATCGCCTGGAACTCACTCACCTGGGCAGATCATAGTATCTGAGCTTCATGTGCTTCCTCTGGGGGGCACTGAGATATACTTATGCTGCCTGGAGAACAGAAGACCAAGCCTGACCATTGTTCAGCACAAGGATCAAGGATTAGGTTTTGTTTTCATTTTAAATGGCACAGAGAAGAAGGAAAAATAAACACAAAGAGTGGACTGTTCTGGCGGGTGGCCTGCTGTTGGGCTTGGTGGGAAAGGGCATGTGCACCCAGACTGGTAAGGAAGGGTAGGGGTGACTTGGGACATGGGTCTAGGTCATCCCTCATGCAGCCTCACTGGCAGCCTGACAGGTTTGTGCTGGAAGGGTTGGCCACTTACCCTGGTTTCCCCAAGCCCTGCCCACCTGGCTGACATCATTTGCTCTCTTCTTCCTCACCCGAGCACCTAAGCCCAACTGTGTGCATCCCAGCAGGCTTGGTGTCCTGCTTCCTCGCAGGGGGCTCCTCCTTTCCCTACAAGGCTTCTACGGTCAGTCCACTCAGCCTCCAGCTCAATGTAGGCAGAAGCTCTCTTGGGGGTATTCCCCACTCCTTCCATTCTCTGCCCCAGCCGGGACAGGGGCTCCTCCCGTGGGTTCTCATAGCATCCGTCTGTTGTCAAACCTGTTCCCTGCCTGTGGCAGCCTGAATTCTCAGCTGGCCCCAAGACTCTTGCCCTAGCTCCTGGTATACGGTCCTGGATCACCCTTCCCTCGAGTGTGAGCAGAACCTGGCACTATTCTATATGATAGAATAGTACGGCTGTGATTATGTCACATAACAGACTGGAGAGATTCTCCTACTGGCTTTGAAGAAGTAAGCTGCTCCACACAGCTAAGACCTAAGGGTGACCTCTAGGAGCCCAGAAAGACCCCAACTAACAGCCAGCAAGGAAATGGGGACCTTGGTCCTAGAGCTGAGTTCTGCTAAAACCTGAATGAGCTTAGAAGTGCACCCTGACTCCCAGGTAAGACTACAGTCCAGTCAACACCTGGATTTCAGGCCTGAGACGCCAAGCAGAGAACCTGCTAACATGTATCCAGACTTCTGATTCATGACACAGTCAGATAAGAAAAAAGTGTGTTTCTACATGTATATTATCTAGGGTGAAACAGATCACCAGCACAGGTTGGGTGCATGAGACAAGTGTTCGGGCCTGGTGCACTGGGAAGACCCAGAGGGATCGGGTGGAGAGGGAGGTGGGAGGGGGGACCGGGATGGGGAATACATGTAAATCCATGGCTAATTCATTTCAATGTATGACAAAAACCACTGCAATGTTGTAAAGTAATTAGCCTCCAACTAATAAAAATAAATGAAAAAAAAAAAAAAAGAAAAAAGTGTGTTTCTAAAGCTGCAAGATCTGTGGTGACTGATTAAACCACAATAGAAAACAAATACATGATCTGAGTCCTGAGTTCACTACATATTCTGTGAGGGCGGAACAGGGTCTTATATATTCCCAGCCCCACAAGAGTCGGCCACAACACAGTAATAGATGCCTACATAGTATCTGCTGAGAGATCATGTGAATTTTGGAGATGAGAAAACTGGGGTCATGAGAACAGAAAGACCTTTCCTGAGAGGACACAGCAGGTCGAGGACCTAGCTGGTGCCAGAACCTCTGTACTTGTCCTTTTCGTCCCATTTGTTTCATCCCATCTTTGTTGTTACCTGTTATGAAATCACTGTGGACAGTGATAGCAACCATGAAATTAAAAGATGCTTGCTCCTTGGAAAGCCATGACAAACCCAGACAGCGTACTAAAAAGCAGAGACATCACTTCGTCGACAAAGGTCTGTATAGTCAAAGCTATGATTTTTCCAATAGTCATGTACAGATGTGAGAGTTGGACCATAAAGAAGGCTGAGCACTGAAGAACTGATGCCTTCAAATTGTGGTGCTGGAGAAGACTCTCGTGAGTCCCTTGGATTGTAAGGAGATCAAACCAGTCAATCTTAAAGGAAATCAACCCTGAATATTCATTGGAAGCTGATGCTGCAGGTCCAATACTTTGGCCACCTGATGCAAAGAGTCGACTCATTGGAAAAGACTCTGATGCTGGGAAAGACTGAAGACAAGAGGAAAAAGGGTGGCAGAGGGTGAAATGGTTAGAGAACATCACCAACTCAGTGGACATGAGTTTGAGCAAACTCTGGGAGATAGTGAAGAACAGGGAAGCCTGGTGTGCTGCAGTCCATGGGATTGCAAATTGGACATGACTTAGCAACTGAACAATGGCCAGCAAGTTCTGCACAGGTGTTCTGGAGTCTGTGCATCTCCAGGAAACCACTAGCCATGAAACGATTTAATTCTACAAGCTGTCATTTGCTAAGAAGCAGTGGGACTCACCACCTCCACAGCTACTGTCAACATGCGTCATTCCCAGATACCCCCGGAGGCCAGGTCCCCCCACTCTCTGGGACTCCCAGGCTGCTTACTGTCTGTGAACCATCTCGTGTCTCCGTGCTTGCTTCTTCATTCTGCTCATTTTCCAACCACTCGTGACTAATCACAAGTGACACTTATTGAACACTTACTAAGTGTGCCAGGTACTGTCCTCAGCACTTTAAAGGCATGAACTTATTATTGCCTCCTAAAACCACCCCATGAAATCGTATCCACAGGCATCTCCAAAGTGGCTCAAAGACAGAATGAGGCCATCAAACTCCCTTCCTAACTATGGGAGTCGAGAGGGAATGCCATGGAGAAAGCCGGGGCCAGGGCAGCCACTTGCACACCATGTGTAAACTGGAGAGGAAGCTGGCTAGCAGAGGTGGGCAGGAAGCACACAGGACAGCCAGAAATGAAAAACTGCATAACCCTGGAAGGCTTTGAGTCCACTCACCTCCTGGCAGCCAGAGATGTTTTCAAAAACATAAACCAAAGCAAAAACTCTGCGTAAACTTCTGCAATAAATTCCCATCACATTTAGAATAAAATCCAAATATTTTACGAGTTTCTAATGTTTATAAATCTTAACCTCATGCAGCTTCCATCTCCAGTCCCTCTCAAGTGATGCTTCAGCCACACTGGTCTCCTGTCAGGGTATCTGGATACACAAGGCTTTCCAGCCACAGGGCCTTTGCACCTGCTAGCTTATCTGCCTGGAAAACTTTTCTTTTTTTGCAATGCACATGCTTCCCTGGTGGCTCACAGAATAAAGAATCCGCCTGCAATGCAGGAAACCCAGGTTCCATCCCTGGGTCGGGAAGATCCCCTGGAGAAGGGAATAGCTACCCACTCCAGTATTCTTGCCTGGAGAATTCCATGGACAGAGGAGCCTGGCGGGCTACAGTCCACGGGGTTGCAAAGAGTCAGACATGACTGAGCAACTAATACTTTCACACTCCCCCACTATGCTTGACTCCTTTTCTTATCCTCAAGGCTCTGCAGAAATGTCCCCTCCTTTGGAAGACCTCCCCTGATCATACTACCTAAAGAAGGTCCCTCTCTTGACATTGCTAATATCGATCTCTGTTCCTTCAAAGCACTTATCACAATGTTAATTATTTGACTTAACTATTTACCAGTCCCATATTATCAACATTGGATGCACATGACAAACCTAAAATGATGCAAGGTCTTCACAAAGATTCTCACTTAACTGGTTTGCAGTGGAGCCGGACCATGATTTTTTTTTTTCTCTAAAGCTCCTTTGGTAATTTGATTTGTCCCCAGTTAAGGCTGAGAATCAGTGCAATAGACTGTAAGCCACATGAGGGTAGGGACCACATCAGTAGTTCCTGATAAAGGCTCCAAGAATGACCCCTGCATCAACACATGTGTAAGAAAAGAAATAGCAGGTGCTTTCCAACATCAACTGTGGGTCCAGTCCAGGTGTTTCCTTTTAATACACCTCCCTTTTCCTTGAGGTAGTTTGACTAGAGCTCTAGTTTTTAGAATCAGTTCTTCCTCCATCCTCAAAAACAACCAGCATCATCAAAATACAGGAGCCCTTGGTTTTTAGTGCTGGAGAAGGGATGAGACATAAGCCCTATATTATCAGGCTTCCATGTGCTAAGCTGGTGGGGCCATCTCTGCCTTCTCCAGGTGAAGGGCAGCAGTGAGGGGACTGTGCGGGCAGCAGGGTCCACCTGCCTACCTGTCCATGGAGAGCTGAGCAACCAGGGTGACGTCTGTGTTGTCTGAAGCGGGCTCATACTCATAGTGCAGGAAGTATAGGTGGGTTCGGTGGACGGTGAACCGCTCTCGCCGGAACTCATAACACAAGTCATCCTCGTCCAGTTCTGAGAGCTGCTTCTGGAGCTGAAAGGTAGGAAAGAAGGCTTGGGAACAAGAAGTGGATCCCCAAGGGGGTCGGCCTGTCATGCACTGTCCTTCCCTGAGTTTCTTATCCGCTGGACCTTGTTGATTGGCCGGTCAGAGAAGGACAGGATCCTGACTTCTATGACTTCATATGACTTTCATATGATTTCTATCAGTTAAGACCATTGCCATGATAGGCTAAAGCAGGAGTCCCCAAGCCCTGGACCAGTACTGGTCTGTGGCCTCTTAGGAACCAGGCTGCTCAGTGAGAGGTGAGCGGTTGGCGAGCAACCAAAGCTTCATTGGTATTTACAGTGGCTCCCATCACTCTCCCATTACCTGCAAATGGGACTGTCTAATTGCAGGAAAACAAGTTCAAGGCTCCCACTGATGCGATGGTATGGTGAGCTGTGTAACTGTTTCATTATCTGTCACAATATACTACTACTAGAAATAAAGTACATAATAAATGTAATGTGTTTGAACCATCCTGAAACCATTGCCCCACCCCTGCTCGGCCCATGGAAAAACTGGCCTCCACAAAACCAGTCCCTGGTGCCAAAAAGGTTGGGAACTGCTGGGTTAAACTCTGATATTATTTCTCAAGATGTGTACTCTGACAGCTGACTGCATTAAATGGTCCGGTTTCTTCACTTTCCCCTGCCCTTTGTCATGTGACTCTTGGTGCTGCCTACTACAAAGGCAAAGATTATTTCCCCAATCCTTGAACCTCCTTGGCTCGACTTGTGATTTGCTTTGGCAAACAGTATGAGGGGAAGCAACGATGTCCCAATCTTGAGGGATCAGGTAGAAGAGGAAGTGCATACTTCTTGGGAAAATGCCTGGACTGGCCTGCTGGGAAAGGAGACAGATGGAACAGAGTGGAGTCTCCCCAACTTCCCGTCATGGGAGTGAGCCCAGCCAAGGTCAGCAGAGCTGCCTCCATGAGCACTTCTCACTGTTCCCGCTTCTCTCTGTACACTACTGAGGTTTTATGGGTTTTGAGCACTAGATGACAGATAGTGTCACTTTCATTATATGAGTCTGTCCCACGCAACACAGGGTGGCTAGCCTCCTGGGCCCCAGCCCAATAAATGATCGTAGCATTCTCCAGATGACTGAGTATAACTGAGTATAACTCCAAATGCTCCCATACATTCCCAAAGGCCACTTGGGTAATCAGTTGTGATCCAGTGGTCTATGAGACATGCTCAGCTTTCTTGAACATTTTTAACCTTTAGAAAGGATGGAGTCAGGGATATTCCTCAGCTTCTCAAGACCAATTTGATGTCCTTGCCTATTTGAAAGTTCCCTCTATGCCAACAGGGTAACTAACTGATATAAGGCTGGGAACTAGAATTTTCCTTCTGCCTAAGGCCCTAGGAGCCAGGTGACCCCTTCTGACTGCAGGATTAAGTTCAGTGTCTCCTGGCCTACAGGACTCCTCCCTGATCTGCATGCCCAGCAAGCCTCTAGTGGATATACTCAGCCACTCATAGCTAAGTGAAAGGGAAAGGGAATAGTGGCCAATGAAAGTGCTTCTAGAGTCACTTTCTAAGAGGGTCTACCAGCAGTCCTGGGGGATAAGTAGCCTCCTCCTCCACTAGGAGCTGCATGGTACTGATGTGGTTCAGTGGCAGCCACTTCCCAAGGTCACCCCTAACCATCACAATGCTTAAAGGCTAGGATCTATAACATTGCTGTTTACCAGCCACACAGGGGGCTGCGGAGAGCCCAGCGGATATGACATCAGACATACATTAGAGTCTGGGACTCTGTACCAACCAGTGCCTTCCTTGAGTTTTAATATTAATTATCAGGATGGTGCTTTGCACCTCTGTCCTAACATGGACTAAGCACCTACTGTGTGCCAGGTGCAGCGCTAAATCAGATGCGCCGCTTTGTTTTCAGCACAGATCTCTGTTTTACAAAGGAGGAAACCGAGGCCCAGAAAGTGTTGCCTGCCAATTACAGCTAGAGAGCAGCAGTCTGGACTGTGAGTCCAGCCCTCGGACCTTTCACACCAGCGACATCTCACAACACAATTACTTCTCTCCTGGGGGATGGATGTGAAGGTCAAATGTGCTGGTGGAAGATAGCATGCTGCGTGAACAAAGCAGGCCACAAAAATGCATTTGCAGTATGATCACAACACAGCGAAAAGACAGACCAGCCAACCCCAGGCAGAAACAGACCAAAGGGAATCCACTGCAATGTTAACAAGCTTTTTTCTGAGTGGAGGATTCACAGATGAATTTTATTGGCCTTGTTATACTTTTTGTACTTAAGTAATTCCCTTCAATTTTCTCAAAGGAGCTAATGCATGTACAAGTGCTTTGTAAACTGTAGAGTGCTACACATACCTCAGAAATATTATGATTGCATTATGTTCCTTTTCAAATTCTAATCTAGGACTGCTCACTGCTGACTGCATGGCTGACGGGATTTCAGGCTGATCCCAAGGAGAAGACTCGAGCAGCTTGAAACCTGTCTCCTTCACATCCAGGTAATATCTCCAGGGAGATGCTTAGCTGGAGGGCAAGGGTGGTGTGGCTTTTGTTAACAGGGTCTTAATGCTACCCCTACTCCACACTCCAGTCATGTGGGGAGCAGGGGGTTTCCCGACCAGCAAGTCGCAGAAACAAAAGACAGATCCCTCCTGAGATAAAAAGCATCTGCTAAATTGCTTCTTTGGGCAGCCAGCTGAGGCACAGGGAAATCTGGACTCAAAGGAAAATGGCCTTTAAGCCGTTTGCATTCATTTCTTCCGATCCTTAAGGACAGTGGCCTAGACTGACCCCTGAGCTGCCAGAGATGATGGCTGTCATGCCTGCGGACTCTAGAGGGATAGGAAGTGTGTCCTGGGGCTCTGGCCTCTGAACTTCTGCTCAAAGTCAGGAAAGACTACATGGAGAGATATCGGGATCAGTGGGCAATGAGGCCTGACTTCTCTGACCCTCATTTGCTATGTGACCTGGAGCAAGTCACTTCTCCCGAGAGCAGGACAAAGACTTTGGGTTGCAAGGATCATGTGCTCACCAGGCCAGGTGAGTGCTGAGAGTGCTGCAGGCACTTCCTCATTAATACTCACATGGGTCAGAGACCGCCAGCAGTCCTGTTTTACGGACGAAGACGATCATCATCTGAAAGGTTTGGCCATTTGGTCAAGGTCACAGTAAATGAACAGAGCAGCTGAGATTCACAACTAGCGGTATTTCCTCCAAGTTCTTGTACGTAATAAAGTCACTGCAATGCCTTGTTCATCATCCTCTGGGTCTAATGCTAGATGGTTCAGTGACTGTAGAGTTCTGAATCATGTGTCCCCCTTGGTGACAGAGATCTTTGGTGCTCAGGCTGAGAGAAGTGGCCAAGTTCAGGTCAGTAGAACATGGGTAGATTCTGGCTACTACAGGCTCCATTTTTTACTGTCTCATGCATAAGCGAGAGTACCTAGTGGAGGATGCTCCGTGGAGGGCAGAGCCGCAAGAAGGGAGGAGTCTGGACCCTGAACATGGAGAAGAGCCATCTGCCAATTAGGAACACCCACTTGGACTTTGTGTGAGCCATAAATTTCCAGCCCCCCAAGCCCATTTGATAAGTAATTGTGTTCCCTTAACTAACATGCTTACTTGAACTCTTTGAGTCAGTAAGTGATGAAGACAGTGCAACAGACCAATTCAGAAGTCTCTAAGGCCACCCCTTCTTGTGACACGTGTCCTTCTGATGCCTTAGGACATCGGGTAGAAACATCGGGATAAAATAACACTCAGGAGTGTTGCTTTACACTCTCAGCACTTTTCACTTTCAGCAGCCTTGATATCCATTTCTTCATCTGTCCCTCCCAGTGAGCATATGAGACCAGGAGGGCTACCCTCTTGCCCCCAGTTGACAGATGAGGAAACTGAGGCACCAGGGATGTGCTCAGAAAAGCTGGGGCCCTTAACACATCTCTTGGAACCTCATTCACGATTCTTCTCTGTGGTTTCCATGAAGTGGTTAAATTTTATTAAACCACGCGGACAGGCAGAAAAAGATTACCAGCTCACTGGTTGCCTGCTGTGTGTACTAATGATCAAAGTTCCAAGAACCCAAAATACTGTTTTCCAAGGAGACCAAACCATGGGCCACTTTCATTCTTTCACAGGAAGGGAGAGGCATGGGCTTAGGACCATTCCGTGAAGGTTCAGAGATGTCTGCCCAGCACTGACTGAGGCTCTAAGAAAATAAAGAAGAAAATGGCATGGTCTGCTCCTTCCCAGGTATTACTATTAATGTGAACATCCCACACAATTAATAAGCCCTTATTTTATGCTAAGCCCCATGCTAGGAATGTGGAATGAACCCCAGTGTCTGCATTTAAATTGTTTATACAGTCTGGTTCTCATTTACAGATGAGAAAACTGAGGCACAGAGTTTGAGTGGCCTGAAATCCCATAGGGAGTATTCCTACCATTTTACATGAGGCAATGTTGCTCCAGAGCTTTCCTCTTATGTTTCATGCAAGGAGCCGGTTAGGGCAAAAGTAAAAGTAGGCAGAGGTCTGTGACAAAGATGTGGGAGAGTCAAGCACCTGGCTGGTTTGGACAGATGATGTTTGGATAGATAAGAGCCCAGGGGTGTGAAGGAGGGGTGTGTGCCTGTGGCCCAGACAGACCCTGTGAGTCTCTGGACCCTGGGTTCCTTCTTCATCCCCTCTCCTGGCCACCCAGGCAAACAATGGGATGCTTCAGCTCTGAGATCTAACATGCCAAGGAGGGTCACAGGAGGCTGGCCTTGGGCAGCCTGTCATGGGACTCTAAGTGCCATCCACTCTGGGCTCCGCTGCCCACTGCGTGATGAAGGAGCTGGTGACACGCGGCTCACATGTGAGAGCAATGATGCACTCCAGGGTTTCTCTGGGGTTTCTCGGGGATACAGCTGTTTCTACAGAGCCATCTGTTCCCTGGAACTGCCGTGCAGTGATGCTGTAAAGGGTTTGTAGGATCTGTTTATATGTGTCT